AAGGCTTTATATATGTCATCCAACTGCCTTCTTGCCTGCATGGTTTCTGCTGAGTGGTCCGAGCTTATTCTTATCGACTCTCCTTTGTAGATGACTTTTCGTTTATCCCTAGCTGCTCTTAAAATTCTCTCTTTATCTTTGGTTTTGGCAAGTTTGATTATAATATGTCTTGGTGATTTTCTTTTGTGATCTACCTTATGCGGGGTTTGATTAGCATCTTGGATAGGTATCTTGTCATCTTTGACGATATCAGGGAAGTTTTCTGCCAACAAATCTTCAACATTTCTCTCTGTATTTTTTGTTCTCCCCCCGAAGAACACAAAATTCTTTCCAATAAATTATCAAGGATACAATTGCTGGTTACTGAATTTCCAAATAATTTGTTCTTAGTAACATTCATCTTATCAAGTATTATATTCAGTTAAACCACACAGAGAATATTTTCTATAAATGTGAAAATCATGTACGATTTCTTCAGATGGGTTGAGGCTATAGGAATGCACTTGGTAGTACGTTTTATTTTTTTCCAATTATCTACTATGTCATACAAAAAAAAAGGAAGGTTAAAATTTGACTCGCAGGTAGTTTTAATTTCGTTTTAAAAAGCACAACACAGGTAATCAGTGTGGATGAATGTGAGTTCTAGATCCATCCCTCTTATGTTAACAGTAGAAACTACTTCCATGTACTAATATGCTAAGTACTATGCTCACTGCATTATATGTACTGTTTGATTTAATCCAAAACAGATCTTTAAATCCTGGTTTTTCTTTTTTTAATGTTATTTATTTTGTTGATGTTGTTGAGAACATACACAGCAAAACATACACTAATTCAACGTTTCTATATAAACTTCTCACCCAAACCCATGTTCTCCTTTTCTTCCTGACACAGAGGTAGACTATCTTCCCCAGCCCCAATCCCAACAGGTAGTTGAGTTCTTGTCAATAGAATGTGAATGGAGGTTATATGTGTCACTTCAGACCTGAGCATAAAAATCTCCAATGCATGATACTGCATTCTTTTTTCTCCTTCCGAGGGGCTAGAATCAAGATGATCTCCAGAGGAACCCCGAGGGTACATTTGAAGGAGCAGAGAGGCATGGTCCCTGAATGACAGGGTGCAGGAGGGTATTCTCACGAACTTGTTTACCATCCTATCACTCTTCTGTGAGAAAGGAATAAAATTCTATTGTGACTGAGTTGTTATATGTTGGAAGGGTCTATTTATTACAGATGTAAGTGTTAGCCAAATAGTACAGACACTGGTGCCTAGAAGTTGTTTATCACGGCCTCTAATAAGGTACTACAAGATAAAGATAAGCTAAGGCAAGAATCGAACAGCAGAAATATAAGTGAATAGAGAATAATTTGGGAACTCATAAGGCTGGAAAAGTTAACTTCTTCTAAAAGTTAAATAGAAGGAAATAAAACTGAAAAATGTATTGAGGGATAAAGGTCTATTAAGATTTCTCAGTTTAAAAAAAGAGATAAAGAGCAGATGGAGGGCATTCTGTCTCATTATTACCTCAAGGTAGTCATCAGTAGGTAGAAAGAAGCAAGGGAGTTCATAAGCAAAGAAAGCTGACTTGAAAACTATATCTAGGAAAGAACATGCAGCATAATTATTGGCACATGGAAGTGACTAGAAACAAATGAAGTAAGTTACTGAATTTTAAGTACTGCCAAGGAAACCAGAAACTTTGTCTTAAAAAAGTGTGTGCAACAAAAAACAATATTTGGGCTGCTAAACTTAAACCAGCAGATGCAGACCCCAAGGAAGGCAAACTTTGTAGAGTTAATTAATGCCCACTTCATACGTGACCATGAAGGAAGAACCATCGAGAGGGCAGAGCCATGGAGAACAATAAACAAGGGAGTTCCTCCAGAAAGAGTATATTTAGGGTCTAAGCAAGAAACTTGTCCTGCTGTCAGCACAGCTGACCTTTTCAGCGCTCTCCTGCCCAGCAGGTTTTCATCATCTTTATGGACCAATGACTGCTGTTTTCCATTCTTTCCTCTCTGAGTGGGAGTGATTATTGCAGATATCCTGTCTCTGTTTCACCATTATTTATTAGAGTGTACTGTGGCTAGGAAAGAGTAGATAAATTTCATAATCTGAAAACCTCAAAGAACCACAGCCCAACTTGATAGAGAGGACTGTGCATCAGACTGAGATCCTTGACTTTCAGCTGGATACAGTAACTGGAGAACTTCAGCATCTCCCCTGTTGGGTGTTGTTGTTGTTGTTAGGTGCCATTGAGAACGTTCCAACTCATAGTGACCCTATGTACAACAGAATGAAACACTACCCAGTCCCGCGACATCCTCACAATCATTGTTATGCCTGAGCCCATTGTTGCAGCCACTGTGTCAATTCATCTTGGTGAGGGTCTTCCACTTTTTCGATGACCCTCTACTTTACCAAGCATGATGTCCTTCTCCAGGGACTGATCCCTCCAGATAACATGTCCAAACTATGTGAGACATAGTCTTGCCATCCTTGCTTCTAAGGAGCATTCTGGTTGTACTTCTTCCAAGACAGATTTGTTCACTCTTTTGGCAGTCCACGGTATATTCAATACTTGCCAACACCATAATTTAAAGGTGTCAATTCTTGTTTGGTCTTCCTTACTCATCATCTAGCTTTCACAAGCATATAAGGCAACTGAAAACACCATGGCTTGGATCAGGCACACCTTAGTCTTCAAGGTGACATCTTTGCTTTTTAACCCTTTAAAGAGGTCTTTTGCAGCAGATTTGCCCAATACAATGCGTCCTTTGATTTCCTGACTAGGCTGCTTCCATGCGTGTTGACTGTGGATCCAAATAAATTGAAATCCTTGACAACTTAAATCTTTTCTCCATTTATCATGAGATTGCTTATTGGTCCAGTTCTGAGGACTTTTGTTTTATGTCGAAGTATAATCCATAATGAAGGCTGTAGTCTTTGATCTTCATCAGTAAGTGCCTCAAGTACTCTTCACTTTCAGCAAGCAAAGTTGTGTCATCTGCATAATGCAGATTGTTAATGAGTTCTCCTCCAATCCTGAAGCCACATTCTTCTACATACAGTCCAGCTTCTCAGATTATCTGCTCAGCATACACACTGAATAAGTATGATGAAAGGATACAACCCTGATGCACACCTTTCCTGACATTAAACCACGCAGGCTTCCCTTGTTCTGTTCAAACAACTGCCTCCTGATCTATGTACAGGTTCCCCATGAGCACAATAAAGTGTTCTGGAATTCCCATTCTTTGCAATGTTATCCATAACTTGTTATGATCCACACAGTCGAATGCCTTTGCGTAGTCAATAAAACACAGGTAAACATCTTTCTGGTATTCACCACTTTCAGCCAGGATCCACCTGACATCAGCTATGATATCCCTGGTTCCACGTCCTCTTCTGAATCTCGCTTGAATTTCTGGCAGTTCCCTGTCAATATACTACTGCAGCCACTTTTGAATAATCTTCAGCAAAATTTTACTTGCATGTGATATTAATGATATTGTCATGAACTGAATTGTGTCCCCCAAAAGTATCTGTCAACTTGGCTAGGTCATGATTCCCAGTATTGCACGATTGTGTACCATTCTGTAATCTGATGTGATTTCCTTATGTGTTGTAAACTCTATCATTATGATGTAATAAAATGGATTAGCGACAGTTATACTGACAAGGTCTACAAGATTAGATAGTGTCTTAAGCCAATCTTTTTTGAGATATAAAAGAGAGTAGCGAGCAGAGAGACATGGGGACTTCATACCACCAAGAAAGCAGTGCCCAAGCAGAGGGTGTCCTTTGGACCTGAGGTTCCTGCACTGAGATGCTCCCAGACCAAGGGAAGACTGATGCAGCACACGGACCTTTCTCTAGAACCGACAGAGAGAGAAAGCCTTCCCCGGAGCTGATGCCTTGAATTTGCACTAGTAGCCTACTAGACTGTGAGAAAATAAA